GTTTTCTTGTGCCCAATAATGCATAATTTCATTTGATAAACACGTTTAGATTGAATGGTAATTTATAATCAGTCACAAGAACGTCGAATCTGAATCACTTGAAAAAAACACGGGGGTGCTTAACTTTTTTCCAGGTGTATAGTTTAGAAATTAATTAAAGCTATTTGGATTTTTGTTTGTTTTCGGATATTCTAACAAAGCTACGCAAGGGCTATCCGCGCATAGCCTAATTTTGAACTGATAAACTAAAGAAAGACAGCAGTCAATGGGACCCAGCGCCAGCTGTTATCTGGCTGAAGAGTAGGATTTGGTTGTCATTCTTAACTAACACACATATATGGCCTCAAAGTGCGGATCGCAAGTTATTATTATTATATATATATATATTTGCGGTAACGGGACTCGAACGTTAGATAAGGACACCCACGTTGCGACAGTCTGGCATACTAACCAACAGGCTACAATCGTCCTCCGACCTAGTGAATACCAACACGTGTACTGTTTTCTACTCTACTTCAGTTTTCACACAACTGGTATGCACGTGTGATCTATGGTAAATGTATAGAGAAAAAAAGATATTTTCACTAAATATATTGAGGAAAATATGCTAGACTCGTTATATGTCATGAGTTTTATTATTTAACTATGGGTTCTTCGTTGCAACATCCTGAAACGTTAACCTCTAGGCCACAATCTGTCTCCAACCTAGTGAATACTAACATCTGTTCCTGGTATATCTCAGAGTCCACAAAACTAATATACACATGTGGTAAACGTAGAGAGAAAAAACTTAGCTTTTTTTACTAGACTCGGTATATGTCACAAGTTTTAATATTTAACTATCGTTTATTCATTAATAAATGATTATTTATCAGAAAGTGTTGAAATTATTTAATTAGTTAAAACTAGGTTGAATTTTTTTTGTTTGCTTATTAAGCACAAAGCTACACTCTTGGCTATCTGTGCTGTACCAACCATGAATATCAAAACCCTGTTTTTAACGGTGTGAGCCTCCAGACTTACCGCTGAACCACTGGGACAACTTGACTAAACTAACTACAAAATAAAAAATGTATATAATTTAGAAATTAATTAAAGCTATTTGGATTTTTGTTTGTTGTTAAGCTAAAAGCTACTCAATGTACTGTCTGTGCTCTGACCATTTCGAAGAATAATGCATTTTTTTTTATTTTGACGCTCAAAATAATCAAGCCCTCACGTATAAAAATTACTTAAACTACTGTTAAGTGGGTTATACATTTCCTTTGTAATTAACGGGAATTAACCATATTTTTTCTTCCTTATTAATTTACCTA